ACCCAAACACAACTTCCACTAATTTAAGTGCTTTGTTTATAAAACGTTCATCCTTCTGTTAAATCTGTCAGGTTTAAAGAATCTTCTTGTCACACGTGGGGTTTGTAAAAAAAAAACAGACACACAACCAAGTTTTTACTGAAGGACTGGATCTGTGCCCCCCAGTCTTCAGTTCACACATGAGGTTCCTATAAAGTTCCTGCGGTCCGGGCGGGGCGCATGCGCAGCGGGGAGCGTGTGGTAGTATTGTGAATGATGAAGGGGGAGGTATTTTGAGAGTACAGTCACAAGAGCGACTCGTCGGAGCCAGGAAGTAGACCGGAGACGCCTTCATGCTCCTGCTCAAGTGTCGTAATTTTGACGTTTGACAGCTGCGCGCGGAGAAGGTGTCGCGGAGGAGCTCTGTGGCTGCAGCTGATAAAAAAAGATGAACTGCAGCAGAAAGATTTCAGCTCTTATCCCATGAACCGCAGGGCAAGATGGAAATAATTCATCGTTTTTGTCGCTTCTGTTAATTTTACGAGCAAAGTTACAAAAAATAGTGTTTTGTTGTAAAAGAACATTAAAAGTTGCGTCAGAAGATGTAATGTCCCAACATAAAGACACAGTGCACGGCTGTGATTACAACTTATTTGGGCTGTAGGGTTCATTTCTGGCTCAAATCCATTTTTACGCACAAATCGTGCGCGCAGCGGGAGAGGAGGAACACTTGAAAGTTGCAGGTAGACTTCCCTCAGAAGGAGAGGGGGGAGAAGGGGAAGGAGGGGAGAGAGGGGGGAGCTTTATCCCCGGCGGGTCACCTTAATAAGAGCCATTTGGAGCGCGCGCCGAGCCGAGCGGATCACCAGGACGCAGCGCCGGGCACAGAGTCCAGCAGCGCGACGCACGGAGCTCCGCGCGCGGAGGGAGACAAAAAACAAACAAAAACCAGACACGGAAGAGAAGCTGAAGGAAGAACGGGGCGCGACGCGCACACTCACACAAACACGCACAGGCGGTTTTTACCGTGACCGGATCAGCAGCGAGAGGTTCGGCCGGTTCGGAGAAGATGCCGCGGGTTGTTCCGGACCAGAGGAACAAGTTCGAGAACGAGGAGTTTTTCCGCAAGTTGAGCCGAGAGTGTGAGGTGAGGGTTCGGCTCGGAGACGGAAGAGGCTCCGAACCGGCGGGGAGGAGAGACAAAAATATATAATCTGCTTTTATTTCCGTTTTTAGATTAAAAAGCAGAATAATCTGACTTTAATCTCTGGGATTGGGGGGGCTTTTCTGACACTTTTCATTCAGATTTGACATTTTTCTTCCGCTCTTTGAGACGTTTTCTTTTAACAACCTCAAAAAACTTCTATTAGTTTTAATAAATCTGAGCGCATTTACTCATAAAAAAAAATCTGGATTATTTGGGATTAAAATCAAAATTCCAGAGTTTTGTCCCCCACATAACTGTTTCATTGTTGAACAAATGTGTTTTCAGATTAAGTACACGGGCTTCAGAGACCGGCCCCATGAGGAGAGGCAGGCCCGCTTCCAGAACGCCTGCAGGGACGGCCGCTCAGAAGTTGTGAGGGAATTTTATTGTTTGTTTGTTTGTTTGTTTGTTTATGTTGTTGAGAGGAGGCGCTCATCATCCTCCGTACAGAACAAAAATCCCTGCAGTCCACGCAAAATGCATGTCGCCCGCCGCCTTTGTGCCAAAACTTGATCATCACAAAATCCTCCATCTTATGTCGCGCGCAGAGCGCGTGTTGGTGACGACTCTCAGCTACTACCACTCGACTTTTAGCTCAACATCTGTTATAACCATTGTTCTGTTGGCTAATGTCTCTTAGCCGTGGCAGCCATTTTGATTAAAGGTAGTTAATCAGCTGTAGACGAACATCCGATGATTATTTCCTGGAAGTTTGGTTAATGTATCCAGGGGTTCGGATATTTTGCTGACAGACACACAAACACACGCAGAAACGTTATAAACAGCCTTCACCTACCCCTGAAGGGCGATAATGTAACCTCTGACTCCAGCCTCTTCTTCATGGTCTGTTGATGTTCTGAGGTGTTTCTGCACCAGGAAGTAGACCAGACCCACCAGGCTGAACTTCACTCACATCTGTGTTCTGCAGCTGTGCTTCAAAACTCAGGGGCCCACATGTAGCCAACGCAGGGGCCAATACAGGAGTTAATGCAGGGGCCCACACATGAGTTAATGCAGGGGCCCACACCTGAGTTAATGCAGGGGCCCACACCTGAGTTAATGCAGGGGCCCACACATGAGTTAATGCAGGGGCCCATACCTGAGTTAATGCAGGGGCCCACACCTGAGTTAATGCAGGGGCCCACACATGAGTTAATGCAGGGGTCCACACATGAGTTAATGCAGGGGCCCACACATGAGTTAATGCAGGGGCCCACACATGAGTTAATGCAGGGGCCCACACCTGAGTTAATGCAGGGGCCCACAC